GCGCATACATTTTGTTTTTTGCATCATGATGTTTCCATAAACCGTTTTTTTAAGTGCATGAAAATAGGTGGATGGAAACATAACTATTGAAAGACAGGAATGAGTTTCTCTCTTGTTACTTGTTCTCGTGTCTTTTGTCATTATTTTATTTATTATTAGTCTCCCATTTTCTCTACCTTCTTAAGGCTATTGCTTTTCTTGTTCTCCTACTGTTTGTAAAGTGTCCTTGAGCACCAGTGCTATATAAAATAAATAAAAACTTAAACTGAGCTGAAGATATTTGACCTACAGTATACTCATAGAAGATATCTGCTATTACGGTGATAGTGTTGGCTTAGTACTCTCCATTTGCATATGTCACATTGATCCAAATTAACTTTTTTCATCGACTTCTTTATGGGTTTAAACTTGTTTCTAGTAGTATCTACTAGTTCTCACAGATAGTATCTGAGTTAGAATTACATTATTATTATAATAACTAATTACCAGGGCTATTGTGTTTAAACGGGGTTTCTGCGGGGGTCTTAAAATGTCGTAAATTCCAAAATCAAAATTTTCGACCTTACAAAGTCTTAAATTTACTGAAATGTTGTGTTGTAGGTCTTTAATCTTTTTAAACAAGCCTTTATTTTCCTTTGTTCATGTTTTGCTACCCAATCTGGCCAAAACCCACACAATAACCAACAATCCATCTCAATAAAACTTTCAACTTTTCATTCAAAAACGTCATTTTAACTCTATTATAATGGTTTAAGTATTTTCCTCACAATAACATTTGTTTAAACGTGCTCTATGTATTTACTGCTGAAGACATCGCGGACAGATTGCTGTGTAGATTTAGTTTGTTTTAGTTTTTAAAACTTTTAAAACATTTGTTCATTTTAAATTATTTTTTAAAGTAAGTTTATTTAGGAAAAAAGTGTGTGGATACAAGTAAAGCTTGCATGTTATTACACACAATTTAAAATCTTTTGCTAAGAAATATCTAAAATATATTTTTTTTATTAATTTATTATTGTATTATTAAATGTATTAAATTATCATTTTTTTTAATAGGGCAAATTAAAATCTTTCATCTGGGCTATTTGAAAAATCCCTTAGCCTTTAGCCCTTTATGAGTCTAAAATTGTCATAATGGTCTTAAAAATGTCTTTAAAAGTCTTACATTTAACTTGGTGAAACCTGCAGAAACCCTGGTTTAAAGTATAAAAAAAAAAAAAAAAAAACATGGATGCCCCCAATATTAAATATGCTGAATGAAGTGGACAATAAAATAATTAATTATTATAAAGCATTGTACAGAATTCTAAACTATAAGATGTTGCTGCAGGGCGACATGAGACTAAATGAACAAACTATTGTGGAACAATAACGTTTAACATTGCGCTGACTACAACTGGCCAACAAACTAGTCTAAAATGACTTTTGCTGCTTAAGAAATGGATTACAGCATGCTAATGATATGCAGAGATTTGAGTGTAAAGTTTGTCAGTATTGACCATATTCTTCACGTACCAGCAGGCGCCGCCATTTGAATCTTTTTGCTCTTGACTTTTATTAAAGAAATAATTTTAGATACTAAAAACAGTGTTGTGCTGCTGAGGCATGGGACGATAACCGTTTTCAAGGTATAACGCAGTTTGAAAAAAGTCAAGGTTTTAAAACCGCCAATATTTTCTGCTGTACCGTTCATTTCTATGTTTTTTTTTTATATATATATTTTGTTTTAAGTTTTTAGGACAACAGTATCTCCAGCAGAAAAGATCTCCAAAGATGCCATTTTAAATTGTAATGAAATCTCTGTTTATGAAACAAATGAAGACAGAAGTCAATGATTCAATTGAGTGATTTAGCCTTACATGTTTACTGCTCCAAAATACTTTAAAAGTTTCTCAAAGGAAAATGTTTTGTGTTCAAAGAGGAAAAAGTGTCTGTTTACCCAGACATTTAAAAGAATATATTTTAGAGGAGTAATCACAGTACCATGAAACTGTGATATTTTTTATTCAAGGTTGTCATACTGTCAGAATCTTATACTGGCCCATGCCTAATGCTGCTTGATGTTGCAAAGTCATATTTTCTAATTTTATTGTTTTTCTTTGTATATATAGTCATGAACACACTTGTTTGCAGAGCAAGAGAGCCTGTCTCTGAAAGAGAGTTTTCTGTCGGTCTCCTCCCCTTTTTAAAAGATAAAGCGGTATTTCTCACTTAGCCTTACATATTGTGCTTTTTGGATAGGCTATGAGCATAAAAAATTGGTTGATGGAAACGTCATGATGCCCATAACCTTTGAAATATAAGCATAAAGAAACATGCGCATAACTGAGTAGGACAAACTTTTTATTCGATAAGAGAAGGTAAACTCAAGTAAACCACGCAAGCACTTTTACTGAACAAATTCCAGTATGTTTGTTTAAAAAGGTTTGTTATAAGAGATCATATGATGATGAAAATGTGTGTGAATGCACAAACCAGCAGGCTGAGAACATTATAAACATCTGAAATGTTGTTTTGGTCATTCTAAAACGCCTGAACCGTTTCAGTATTCATGCTATTGTATTATTGATGACCTCCAGAGCGTCTGTTCTCTGCGTCTCATGGCTTCAAACGCCAACACGTGTTAATTTTGTACCAGCATTGTCCTCTGAGGTGAAAGTCATTTATTAAATAAATAAAAGATTCATGTAGCTTCTTCTACTGCAGGAAATTCTGTTTTTACAGTTCATATTTGGGGCCTGTTAATCAGGAAGTGATGATTTTGTTGTCTTTGATTCATTGGATGGAAACGCAGCTTTATTCGCTCATCTTTTATGTGACATCCCAGTTTTGCGCATAAATGTAATTCGCATTTTTTGACAGAAACATAGCTATTGCCTACATTTCAGTCACACAAAGAACAAAGTCACATAGCAGAATGGCTTGTCCTTTCTTAATGAATAATTTGCTTAAATTCAATGACCTTCGACGGACATGTACTGTAACTAGATTAACGGGATTATTACTCGTTCTAAAAAGATTTTTTAGTCCTGCTTACATTTTAAATGTCATATCAACCTCTACCTCTTGATAGTGCTGTGCAATTAATCGAAAATCTGGTTTCAATTTAGATTTTGGCTTCTAATGATTATGAAAATCCATTAATCGAGATAAACGATTATTCCATCATATACCGCTCCCTTTCCAGTTGTACACACTTGTTGCTCTGCAGAGCTCAGTTCCATGTGAAAATAACTAAAGGCATGTGCTGTAATGTAACATTTGCAGCACAGGACGCGCATCATTCCTATTTTTAAAAGTGCATAAGTGCACATGCTCTGTGTGTGCGCTGCGCTTAGCCTTGGACAGGCTCGGAAACAAGCAGAGAACATACATCTAATGCCATCTTAATGTGAGCGCTTTAATGGTCAAGTACATGCAAATTTGTGTAGTGTTTAGTGATTAGTCATAATAACCCTTGTTTGTATAATATACAAACAAGTTAAGAATCAAAAGACACTTGAAAGAGAAACCATATCAGAGCCGCACTATTCCTAAAGTGACTGCGCACAATATTCCTGCTGCCGACTGTTTTTAGCATTAATCAAACAACAAAGGGAGAAAATCCCTCACTGCTCTTGACTGAAAGACTTTTGAAGCTCAAATGTTTTTCTGAAATTGAAAACTCTTGAGTATTTAATCTCTCGGTAAATCAACTCAGAGATCAAGATTAGGTTGGTTGATCCTCCTTACTGAAACAGGCCCCAGGTCATCATGACATGATTGGCAATTGTCGCTGTTTGTAATTGTACTCTGTTTATCCTGAGAGCTGATGCGGAGTATTCTTAGGGCTTTTCACACTTCAAATTGTTAACCCTGGGTCATTCTATACCTGGAGAAATTCTGGGTTATCTGTAGTCACCTTCCACACTGCTCATGCTATACCTGGGTTTAAAAAAATAATCCTGGGTGTTCATTAACAGACAGTTCACATTTTTAAACCCTGGGTTATCATTATTATTTTGTATATTTACGTTGTTACTGTCTCTGATTGGACAAACCACAAGTAACCTTTTTAGATGGCATTTGTGCATATGGTCAGATATATACAATGTCACCAAGTAGGTCTTCAGCTAAGCCTCGGGGCATACACAAAGGCAAGAAAACAAAGACAAAAGTACAAATAAATGAAAACAAGTAACAAAGCATGTAATCTTGCCATCTCCTCATCACTCCCGTTTAAAGCAAACGTGGCATTAAGAATTTGCATACGTTTTATACAATAATGCAAACTTGCAAATATAAGCGTGAATTATGCATACTTGCTATGGACATGCAGGATTTGTCTCAATCGAGGAAACAACACGAGTAATCTAGAGCGAGTGCATTTGGTTATTTCCATTTAAAGTCACAGGCACAAAAAGAGCTTGGTTTGCCTCTGACCCCCAAAATTAAATATTCTACAAGGTACATGATCGAATTTTGAGCTGAAACCTCAGACACATTCTGGGAACACCAAAGACTTATTTTACATCATGGAAAAAATGGGTAATTGTAGGAACCTTTTAAAGGGATAGTTGTGCAGAAATGAAAATAGCCTCACCATTTACTCTCTCTCGTGTGGTTTTAAACCTTTATGAGTTTCTTGATCCTGTTAAACACAAAAGAAGATATAAAAAAAAAAACCTCTACTGGCTTACTGTGTTCCACAATAAAGGAAAACATCCATTTCTTGCTTGTCGCTTTGAGCCTTCATACTAAAGCTAATTTTTTTTTTTTTTTTTTTTTTTTTTAGATCTGATGGTGCTGAAAGAAGAGACTCATCAACAGATTGAAATAGGTGAGAAACAGCAGTTTGAGAAACCCCAAGAAATAGCGACTGATGAAAAACCCACACTGACTAAAAAGACTTCATCACACGGAAGACCTCGGAAATCCAAATCGGGGTGTAATTTCAGCTGTAAACAGTGTAGAAAAAGTTTCAGTCAGAAGTCAAAGCTTGATGTTCACATGAGAGTTCACACTAGGGAGCAACCTTTCACCTGCGAACAGTGTGGGAAGAGTTTTGGTCAAATACAAGGCTTTAAAGCCCACATGAGAATTCACACTGGAGAGAGGAAGTTCACATGCCGAAAGTGTGAAAAAAGCTTTTATCATGCTGGACACTTTGCAGCACACATGAGAATTCACACTGGGGAGAAGCCTTTCAGCTGTAAACAGTGTGGAAAGAGTTTTTGTCAAAAGCCAAACCTTGATGATCACAAGAGAGTTCACACAGGGGAGAAACCTTACACCTGCGAACAGTGTGGAAAGAGTTTTAGTCAAAAACAAAACTTTAAAACCCACATGAGAATTCACACTGGAGAGAGGCCATACACATGCCAAAAGTGTGGAAAAAGCTTCCGTCATGCAATAAACTTGGAAGTGCACATGAGAACTCATACTGGAGAAAAGCCTTTCAGCTGTAAACAGTGTAGAAAGAGTTTCAGTAAAAAGCCGAACCTGATTGCTCACATGAGAGTTCACACTAGGGAGAAACCTTACACCTGCGAACAGTGTGGAAAGAGTTTTAGTCAAAAACGAGACCTTTACATCCACATGAGGATTCACACTGGAGAGAAACCTTACACATGCACAGAGTGTGGTAAAGGTTTCTCACATATAAGCACACTCAAACACCACATGAGAACTCACACTGGAGAGAAGCCGTTTGCATGTGCTCAGTGTGGAAAGAGCTTCACAACCAAACCTAGCCTCAAGAACCACATGAATGGTCACACTGGAACCATAGTGTTCACATGTGATCAGTGTGGAAAGAGTCTCACACGCAAAGACACCATTAAGAAACACATGAAGATTCACTCAAGAGAGGATCGTTTTAGATGCTGTGAGTGTGGAAAGGGCTTTAAAAGTAAAAGAAGCCTCAACACTCACATGAAGATTCACAATGGAGAGCTGAGTCCTTAACATTGAGGCCTTGTCCACACAAACACGGGTATATTCAAAACGGCAGCTTTTTCACGTAGTTTGGCTGTTCATTCAAGTGAAGTTTATTTATAAACTACTTTTGAGAGGATCACATGCTTATGATTGTCCACGGCTGGTTCTGCATTTGCTAAAACATGATTCACCAATCAGATGATTCCTGACTCACTATAGATAACCAGAACACAAAGCTGCGGTCACACTAGACTTTGAGATTGTGAAATTCTGTCGTACGGTGCTGTTAAAAGGGGCGGGATCAAACAAGATTTTTAGAAATTAAAAAAGTGAGCGATTGCTCCATGGTTTAAATTTCTGTCCAGAGAGGTCATGTTTTGATCCTCGATTGGTCTCACGCAGTCAAGTGATGCGATTTCGCAGGTCAGAGTTCACCAAGCATGAACTTTGCACCTCAGCAACCGGCGAAACTTGACGCATGACCCTGTTTCTAGTCTGACGCATTCGCGTGCGTATGAATGGAAGTCTATGGGAGGAAAAGCCCAGTGTGACCGTAGCTTATCTCAGTTATCCTTGTCTTGAAGAATCCCTCTCCCACCCTTACTCCCCCTCCTTTCTAGATTGGGCAACACGGCAGTCAATGATTAGCCAGTGGTTAGCACTGTTGCCTCACAGTAAGAATGTTGCAGGTTTAAGTCGCTGCTAACCAGTTGACTTTTTGTGCAGAGTTTGCTCATTCTCCCTGTGCTCGCGTGGATTTCCCCTGGTTTTCTCCCACAGTCCAAAAACACACAACCTAAGTAAACTGAACATTAAATTGGCACCATAGTCGAGCTCTTAGTAAGAACCAAATGACCTAGAGGAACTCAGGAGATGTGACTCAACCAAAGCAGTTGGGTAATCTCCAGGGGGGTTTCATCCTTTGTTATAAATTAGTGTCTCACAGACTGTACTTTGGTTTAAGTTACTTGAAGACCGACAAGTTAACATCACTGCTGATGAACTGCACAATTAATTCTCTTCAATAAAGTCTTCTCCCCGTAAGAACTTTGGTCAGCTTACTTATTTTATGTATTAGAGTTATCTATACATTTGCGAGCCACCCAAGAACGCTTAAAGGGCCATGAAACCCCCTCGTTTCAGCAGGGTGTTTTCACACCTCTACTTTGGAAAAAGTCAGAAAAGTGGGCGTGTCCAGCTCTGTTTAGGGGGGAGTGTCGGAGGAACTAAAGTGGGATGGTGTGGGAGTGTCTATTTGTGCACGCGCGATTCAAATTAATTGAAGTGTGAACTCTTTTCTGGATTTGGTTTGTCTAAACTTTCATCGGTGTGTGTCTAATTGTGGAGTTGGACTGGCGAGCCTCCCATTAAGTGGATTCTTTGGATACACCTGTTGGAAAGATACAAAGTAAAACCTATTCAGCGTCATGGTAGGAGTGTAAATTTACAACACACTCACAAGTGCAACATCCTGGATCTCTGGAACTGAATTTGCAACCTAGTTGTTTTGCAAAAGAATCTTTTTGAGTGTTCATCACCTGTACTGGACTTTTGGGACATTTTGAAATGTTATAAGTGAATGTTTTATTTTCATTTTTATTTTATTTGTACATTTATTCATTGCAGTGTTCATTTGTTGCAATTTTTGAAGTTTTATAGAGAGAAGTTAATTGGTTTAAGAAGGGAAACCTTGATTATATATTGAATAATAAAACAATTTTAATATTGTATTATTAAGAGGGTTTTGGACGATGGCATTATATAGCATGGTATGGTGATGCGTAACCAATTGGACTTTAAAATTTTTAAGTCTAGACATTCAAACATGCAGTGCTACCGTTTTTACCGTTTCTTTTTTCGATTAAACAATTACCCCCTGTCTGGTTTTGTGGCTTAGTTGGTCAAAACACCTGTCGAGTAAACAGAAGATCCTATGTATGAATCCCAGCAGTACCTTATCTGCAGTGAGCTGTGCTTTTATGGGCCAGAGAGTACCAAAAATTGCTTTCTGTGCAACAGTGCTAGAGGCAGGAGCTCTGTGGTGCAATGGATAGTGCATTGGATTTCTAGGCTGTGAGCTGAGGCCAGTGCGAGCCAGGAGGTTAAGCAGTGAGGCCGAAATCATGCTGCGCTTCCACTGTTGGGCTAGTAGCTCGCAGCACGTCACGCAAACCCCGCCCCATAACATTCCCCGAATCAAACGTCACACAACCCGCCCACTTCAGCGGGAATCAGCCAGATAAAGCACACCATCACATCCTCACGAAACCATTCAAATAAAGACAACTGAAACAAACAATTGACACGTTACTGTACAACATTACATTTTATGTCTATACGCACATGCCTGTGTGTTCTCATTCATCATATTCATTTACTCACCGACCGACTGAATTTGAAAATAATTTTCATGTGAAGCAACATGCCCCTTCAGCTACTCCAGAATGCAGCAGCATGAGTGGTCTTTAATGAATTGAAAAGAGCACATGTCACTCCGCTACTCACCCGTTTGCACTGGCTGCCAGTTGCTGCTCGCATCAAATTCTAAGCTCTGATGTTTGCCTACAAAGCAACCTCTGGCTTTGCTCCCTCTTATCTGCTCTCACTTCTGCAGATTTATATGCCCTTAAGAAACTTGCGTTCTGTGAATAAACGTCGCCTCGTGGTTCCATCCCAAAGAGGGAAGTAATCACTTTCCCGAACTCTCGCATTCAATCTGCCCAGCTGGTGGAATGAACTCCCTAACTGCAACAGAACGGCAGAGTCACTTGCTGTCTTCAAGAAACAACTTAAAACTCAACTATTTAGTCTCCTCTTCACTTCCTAATCTGCAATTGCCTCTAGCTATACCACTAACTGTACTCAAAAAAAAAAAATTCTTACATTACTAATGCTTTCCTTCTTAGACTGTACAGACCTGAAACTTGCCTACAGCACTTATTTATTGTTGCTCTTATAGTTGTGATAATTGCTTCCTTGTCCTCATTTGTTAGTCGCTTTGGATAAAAGCGTCTGCTAAATGACTAAATGTAAATGTAAAACAGCGAGCTGTGTACACGCCCTTAAAATGACACATTATAACACATTATAATAAAAAAATCTGGATTGTGTTTTGAACTGAACCTAAACTGGCACACTCAGAAGAACCATAATAATAATGTTAAATCATAAAAAAGGGGTAAACTATGTGCCCTTTAAGCAATGTGTTAACTTTATTAAATATTCAATAATCATCAAGATTGATAAAAAAGTTCAACACACACAGCAGTGAACGTGTGCACACACACACACACATCAGTGAACATGTACACACACACATACAAAGTTGGTACAGTAGGCCTACATACTGTATCTACCTTGGAAGAAGTGATATGGTTCTTAAAGTGTTGTTTTACGTATGGAGCCTGATTGAATTTTATTATAGTGTCTTCGTAAAAACATCTGTCCATAATTCCTGAAAATAGAAAAAAAAGATATATATAAATAAAGAAACTGCAAAGAAACGATTCAATCATATTAAAGAGATTTGAACTAACCTTCTAACACAACTAGCGGTTAGGTCCCTGATGGAATATGGCTCCCCAGACATGAATTTTTACTGGATGCTTTGCTTTCGGTTTCACAACATGGCGGTTTATTAATAGGGTATGTCCTATTAATAAATTTGTAGGACATGTAAGCTCGTATAAAGCAAATAGCCTAAATAAAGAGATGCATGGATTAATGTAAATAAATAAATCTTTTCATTATGGCATTGTTCAAAATGGCTTACCTGGCTTTCTATAGGTCCACCTGAGTTGTTTTACTGGTTTTCTAATATTGCAGACTGATGCTTTTAACTGTATTCTAAACAGAAGCTCACTCTGAATCTTTTTAGCAGATTGCTCATTGTCCTTGTGCAGTTTTTCGTCAATCGTTTTAAGTGCAGCACTATACAACAAACACATACAATAATTTTATTAATTAATTTTATTAACATTTTACATAAGTGTTGCTGAAATACTTGATTTGACAAAATGATAATACACAATACCTGTTCATTTTCCTTGCCTTGCAGTTGTTTTTCTAGGAAGGCCTACAGGGCTTTGATGTCTATAGTGTCGTCTTACAGTGGTGTTGGAGACGTGCACACCCGACTGCAACAGGAAAGCCCTGATGTCAGCAAGAGAGTGCTTTGATGTGTTGATGCATCAGTTTTTTTCATTGCAATAATTGGTTGAAATGATCTGTAATTAAATCTATAGTGGACCTTCAAAGACAACCCAGATGGGACTTGAACCTACAATACCCAACTCCAGAGGCTGATGCCTTATCCATTAGGTCACTGGGCCATGTTGCCAAGCTTTTGTCATGGAGCTCTTGTATGCCTTCAACAAGATGCCAACGCATGGAAAACTGCACTTTAGGATCTCGATGCCAGTTTGCATTTCGTCAAATAAGATGTGTGCAACTAATGGACAAACATTTTCTTTGTGCAAGCATTCACATTCGTGTCTCATTGGTCCTGGGGTATGGTGTGAGACTGGTCTTGAGTTTCAAATTCCAGACAAGGCCACTCTCATTAACATGAAATCACAACCATTCTGCAGCTATTTTCTTGTTTGCATTTCATCATCATCCACCTAACATGAGACCATTAGTTGAAAGCCACGGGGTACTTGAAGTCAAGATCTCCATTACCAGAGCTTTTCAGAACCTTTGATGTTTGTAAAGTGATTGGATAATTTAAGCAAGATTGGATAAATCTTAATTGAAGTGTGCAGCAAGTCTGAGAATTTGAAGCTAACTATTGACCTTAGATCATCACGCAAGGTTTGAGGGGACAAGTGAGGATTTTTTCCACACAATTTATATTTAACCCAACAAACACAACCCAAATGGGACTTAAACCCACAATTCCCAGCTTCAAACGCTGATGCATTATCCATTAGGCCACTGGGCCAATACTAGCATTTGCCATATCTGTTGTACGGTTTAGGAAGTTCTTGTAACTCAGAATACAGCACTTTAGGATCCCTACACCATATTGCATTCAGACGATCTGGTGACAAAACAGCTTCTCTGAAGAGTTTTCCATTGTCATGTCTTTTTGACCTAAGGGTATGAACCTAGCTTTTTGAAAGTCACAATGGATTGTGCTGCACAGCCAACTTAAAAGGAACTGCGTCAAAGACAACCCAGGTGGAACTCAAACCCACAATCCCCAGCTTCAAAGGCTGGTGCCTTATCCATTAGGCCACTATGCTGTTTCTATACTGCCTGTGAACTGTAACATGAATCCAGGGAGTTGCTGACACACATAACAAAAACTACATGAACAAAAAGTAGATTGGACCGGTTTTACAGAATTTTTTTTTTTTGACACTGCAGAGTGTTTCTACTGGGCTCATTGGTCTAGGGGTATGATTCTTGCTTTGGGTGTGAGAGGTCTTGGGTTCAAATCCTGAACGAGCCCTACATCTTTCACAGAAAAGCAGTGATGCTTTGGTGTTTCTGTGTTAGTTGTAGAAACTTTAGTTAATAAAGATTTAGTGGATTTCTGATCTAAATTAGTCTAACCTGTACAATAATACAGACAAAAAAGGAGCGGGAATGATTCGGTGGTTAGAATTGTTTATGGATCTTGAACAACGTACCAGCTTAATATGTAAGCATCATCTTTGTGTTTGTACACAGTCTCTTCTCTGTAGGCACCATGCAGGCTTCAAAATGGCCATTTGCGTTAGGTATCTCGTTACCCTTTTAGTCATAACAGGTAGTATGGAATGCCAATGAAGGAAGTTAATGACACGCAAACACATCTCAAGAAGGTTTTCACAGCTACTGTGTTTCATCCACCAAACACTGATCTCAAGTTAAAGGGAGATTTTCAAGAACAACCCAGGTGGGACTTGAACCCACAATCCCCAGCTCCGGAGGCTGATGCCTTATCCATTAGGCCACTGGGCCATGTCACCAATCTTCTATCAAGGATCTCTTGTATGCCTTCAACAAGATGCTACCGCATGGAAAACTGCACTTTAGGATCTCGATGACAGTTTGCATTCTATCAAATAAGAACTAATGGCCAAACATTTTCTTTCTGCAATCATTCACATTCATGTCTCATTGGTTCTGGGGTATGGTTCTAGTGTATAGTGTGACTGGTCTTGAGAGTTTCGAATTCCAGTCAAGGCCACTCTCATTAACTTGAAATCACAACCTTTCAGCAGCTATTTTCTTGCTTGCATTTCATCATCATCCACCTAACATGAGACCGTCAATTGAGAGCCATGGGGTACTTGAAGTCAAGATCTCCATTCCCAGAGCTTAGCAGAACCTTTTAGGTGTGTAACGTGACAGTGAGATTCAAGCAAGATTGGATGAATCCTAATTGAAGTGTGCAGCAAGTCTGAGAATTCGAAGCTAACTATTGCCCTCAGATCATCACACCTAAGCTTTGAGTAGACAAGTCAGGATTTTTTCACACAACTTAAATGTAACCTAACAAACACAACCCAAACAGAACTTGAATCCACAATCCCCAACTTCAACGAGTGATGCCTTATCCATTAAGCCACTGGGCCAATACTAGCATTTGCCATATCTGTTGTATGACTCCGGAAGTTCTTTTAACCTAGAAAACAGCACTTAAGGATCCCTATACCATATTGCATTCAGACGATCTGGTGTGTACACCTAATGACAAAACAGATTCTCTGAAAAGTTTTCCATTGTCATGTCTTTTTTGACCTAAGGGTATGAACCTAGCTTTTGAAGGTCACACTGGATTGTGCTGCACAGCCAACTTAAAAGGAACTGCATCAAAGGCAACCCAGGTGGCACATACTAAAAACAACAAGAACAAAAAGTATTTATAAAAAAGTAAGACTTTTTTTGGCACTGCAGGTTCTTTCTTCAGGGCTTGTTGGTCAAGGGGTATGATTCTCGCTTAGGATGCAAGAGGTCCTGGGTTCAATTCCCGGACGAGCCCTACAGCTGTCACAGAAAAAGCAGTGGAACTTTGGCATTTCTACATTAATTGTAGCACCTTTTAGTGTGACTTTAGTTAATGAACATTTAGTGAACTTCTAATTTAAATTAGTTTAACATGTACAATTATACAGACAAAACCGTCTGCTACCCTCAGGCAGATGGTTCCGCAGCATCTGGTCACGCACCAGCCGGCTAAAGGAAAGTTTCTTCCCTCAGACTATCAGGCTGATGAACACTTAATACACAACACACAGACTCTTCCATACCCTCACTGCACACCATCGATATGTAGCATGCACTGACCTTTAGCCAATCCATACTTGAAACAACACTGCCTGCAACTATGTGGACACCTATTCATTGTACATATCGCTGTCAATTTCACATTGTCATTTTATTTGTTATTTGTACTGTCATTGTATTTGCACTGTCATTTTTTTGCACTATCTGTATTTTTTACTGTTTGTACAGATAATTTTTCATGATTTTTGGTGAATTTTTCATTTCTCATGATTTTTTGGTGATTTTTCAAGATTTTTTCATGATTTTTCAAGATTTTTTCATTTTTCATGATTTTTCGTGATTTTTTCATTTTCCATGTATTTTCGTGATTTTCATGATTTTTTCATTTTTCATGATTTTTCGAAAAATTTTCATTTTTCGTGATTTTACGTTATTTTTTTAAAAAAATTCATTTTTCGTGATTTTTTGTGATTTTCCAAAAATTTTTCATTTTTTGTGATTTTTCAAAAATTGGATTTTTTGTTATTTTTCAAAAAAATTTCATGTTTTTCGATCTTTCAAAAATTTTTCATTTTTTGTGATTTATTGTGATTTTTCCAAAAATTACATTTTTGTGATTTTTCAAAAAATTTTCATTTTTTGTGATTTTTTGCGATTTTTCAAAAAAAAATTTTTGTGATTTTTCAAAATTTTTTAATTTTTTGTGATTTTTTGCGATTTTTCAAAAAAATTTCATTTTTTGTGATTTTTCAAAAAAAATTCTTTTTTGTGATTTTTTGCAATTTTTCCAAAGATTGTCATTTTTTGTGATTTTTTGCGATTTTTCAAAAAAATTTCATTTTTTGTGATTTTTCAAAAAAATTTCATTTTTTTTCGATTTTTCACAAATTTTTCATTTTTTGTGATTTTTGGTTATTTTTAAAAAAAAAATCATTTTTGTGATTTTTCAAAAAATTTTCATTTTTTGTGATTTTTTGCGATTTTTCAAAAAAAAATTTTGTGATTTTTCAAAAAAATTTAATTTTTTGTGATTTTTTGCGATATTTCAAAAAAAATTATTTTTTTTGATTTTTCAAAAAAATTTTATTTTTTGCGATTTTTCCAAAAATGTTCATTTTTTGTGATTTTTTGCGATTTTTCAAAAAAATTTCATTTTTTGTGATTTTTCAAAAAAAATTCTTTTTTGTGATTTTTTGCAATTTTTCCAAAGATTGTCATTTTTTGTAATTTTTTGCGATTTTTCAAAAAAATTTCATTTTTTGTGATTTTTCAAAAAAATTTCATTTTTTTGCGATTTTTCACAAATTTTTCATTTTTTGTGATTTTTCGTTATTTTTTTAAAAAAAATCATTTTTTGTGATTTTTTGTGATTTTTCAAAAATCTTTCAAAAATTTTTCATTTTTTGTGATTTTTCAAAAATTGGATTTTTTATTTTTCAAAAAAATTTCATTTTTTGCGATTTTTCAAAAAATTTTCATTTTTTGTGATTTATTGTGATTTTTCAAAAAATTTTCATTTTTTGTGATTTTTTGCGATTTTTCAAAAAAAAAATTTTGTGATTTTTCAAAAATTTTTAATTTTTTGTGATTTTTTGCGATTTTTCAAAAAAAAAATTTTGTGATTTTTCAAAAAAAAAATTTTTTGCGATTTTTCAAAAAAATTTCATTTTTTGTGATTTTTTTGCAATTTTTCCAAAAATGTTCATTTTTTTTATTTTTTGAGATTTTTCAAAAAAATTTCATTTTTTGTGATTTTTCAAAAAAATTTCATTTTTTGCGATTTTTTAAAAAAATTTCATTTTTTGTGATTTTTCAAAAAAATTTCATTTTTTGTGATTTTTTGCGATTTTTCAAAAAATTTTCATTTTTTGTGATTTTTTGTGACTTCAAAAAATTTTCATTTTTTGTGATTTTTCAAAAAAAAAATCATTTTTTGCGATTTTTCAAAAAATTTTCATTTTTTGCGATTTTTCAAAAATTTTTAATTTTTTGCGATTTTTCAGGAGCTGATGAAGAAGACAAGGCAGGAACTGATGAGGCCGATACAGGAGCCGATGAAGAAGCCAAGGCAGGAACTGATGAGGCCGATACAGGAGCCGATGAAGAAGCCAAGGCAGGAACTGATGAGGCTGATACAGGAGCTGATGAAGAAGCCAAGGCAGGAGCTGACGAGGCTGATACAGAAGCCGATGAAGAAGCAGAAGCAAAAACTGACGAGGCTGATGCAGGACCGATGAAGAACACTGGCAAGGAACTGATGAGGCTGATGCAGGAGCCGATGAAGAAGACTGGCCAGGAACTGATGAGGCTGATGCAGGAGCCTCCAATAAAGAAGTCGATGCAGGAGCCTTCAACAAAGTAAGTATAATAGTTAAAACCTTTCATTGACATAATCATACTTTTTGCACAGTCTCCCCATCTATGCCTACAAAACTGTATTCAGCAGTATATACACCACCTAATTGTGATGTACAAACGATGAACTTACAGCAGACAGTGGAGAGTCTGAGTGTGGCTTCTGTGAAAGATCTGCACAGGAACGTTTTCTTCTCTTTGCTTCCCCGGCTCCTAAATGAGCACAGTTGTGATTATCAGAACACAGTGTCTTGGTGTGACGACTTTTATTTATTAATGCATACAGTTGAAGCCGGAATTATAAGCCCCCCTGTTAAATTTGAGTTTATTTTTCACAATTTATGTGTAATGGAGAGAGGACTTGTTCAGGCACATTTCTAAACATAATAGTTCTAATAACTAATTTCTTATAATTTATCTTTGCCATGATGACAGAACATAATATTGGGTCACACTTTACAATAAGGTTTCATTAGATAATGTATTTACTAACATGAACTAATTATGAACAATGCTTGTACAACATTTTTAATCATAGTTCAACATGTACTAATGCTTTATTAAAATAATATTTAATGCTTAGTTGATGGACTGTGAGTTGGCATGGATGACTGTAACACGAACAAATACTGCATTAAGTGTATTGTTCATTGCTTGTTTATGGTAGTAAATGCTTTGACATTAACTGATACAAACTTATTGTAAAGTGTCACCCTTTAAGGTAACACTTTAGAGTAATAGTCCATTAGTTAATATTAGTTAATGCATTTACTGACATGACTTAGAAGTTTAATACATTAATTACAGTATTCATTCATCTTTGTTAACGATTTAATGTTTAAGTTAAATAACGTTAGTTCATTAATGCACTGTGCATTAAGTAATGTCAACAAGCACAACTTTGGATTTTAATAATGCATTAATGTTGACCTGTAATTAATAAATGCTGCACAAGATTGGTGACACTTAGTGTTAGTAAATTGATTAACTAAAGGACTATTATTCTGATGTGCTACCATATTTAGATTGAGAAAGTAAAGGCTTAACTAGCTTAACACTGTTTGTTCTGTAGCCAATAAAAAACATAAATAATAAAACAAATAAAACTTTCTTCAGAAGATAATATACTATCGTAAGTACTGTGAAAATGTCCTTGCTCCATTAGCTTGAATAAATATTTCACAGGAGCGTCCTCAACTGTAGTTCATGCTGCAACAGTATGAATAAATGTTAATAAGTGACATTTATTATGTGATATACCTTGTCTTTCAGAGGAGCTGAGTGGTTTCTTCGGCAGACCGCCTTTGTCCTCAACTGCTAAAGAAGGACAAAAAAAAAACACAAGATAGGCAAAAGTCAGTGTCAAAGCAGCAAGAAGACAATCTCATCAGCACAGTGTTTTGATGTTGTGTTTCATTGATTATGCTATGGTACATAAACAATTAAAGACAATAATAAAGGGTTATACACACTGCAAATTTTAGATTGTAGATTTAACTACCTTAGAGTTCAAATTAACACTCCCTCAGTGTTTATATGGGAACCACTATAAAAGTGTTAAAATAACACTTTTGAAAGTGTTAAAAAATTTTACCACTCAGAGAGTGTTAATTAGCAAACTCTTATTGTGTAAAATATATGTAAAATGTATATCAAAATACTGGCAGCAGTAGCCAAAACCAAAGATGAAATCAACTGAGAATAAAACTTTAAATAAAATAATAATGAATAAAAAAAATAAACAAGTTACACAATAAAATTTATTTTTATTTTCAACATCTTTAAAACAACTCATCACATTAAACAACTCATCACTCTGAATTACCACAACACTTAAAAATTGAACACCAATGAATTTGCTGTGCACCTTGTGCTTTTTTTTAAAAAATCACAAGAAATGAAAATTTTTTGAAAAATCGCAAAATATGAAATTTTTTTGAAAAATCGCAAAACATGAAAATTTTTTGAAAAATCGTAAAATATGAAAATTTTTTGAAAAATCGCAAAATATGAAAATTTTTTGTAAAATCGCAAAATATAAAATTTTTTTGAAAAATCGCAAAACATGAAATTTTTTTGAAAAATCGCAAAAAATCGCAAAATATGAACATTTTTTGAAAAATCGCAAAATATGAAAATTTTTTGAAAAATCGCAAAATATAAAAATTTTTTGAAAAATCGCAAAACATGAAATTTTTTTTGAAAAATCGCAAAAAATCACAAAAAATGAAAATTTTTTGAAAAATCGCAAAATATGAAATTTTTTTGAAAAATCACAAAACATGAAAATTTTTGGAAAAATCGCAAAATATGATAATTTTTTGAAAAATCGCAAAATATAAATTTTTTTTGAAAAATCGCAAAACATGAATATTTTTGAAAAATCACAAAAAATGAAAATTTTTTGAAAAATCGCAAAAAATCACAACAAATGAAAATTTTTTGAAAAATCGCAAAATATGAAAATTTTTTGTAAAATCGCAAAATATAAAATTTTTTTGAAAAATCGCAAAACATGAAAATTTTTTGAAAAATCGCAAAAAATCGCAAAATATGAAATTTTTTTGAAAAATCGCAAAATATGAAAATTTTTTGTGAAATCGCAAAACATGAAATTTTTTTGAAAAATCGCAAAATATAAAATTTTTTTGAAAAATCGCAAAACATGAAAATTTAAAAAAAAAACACAAAAAATCACAAAAAATGAAAATTTTTTGAAAAATCACAAAAAGTCACAAAAAATGAAAATTTTTTGAAAAATCGCAAAATATGAAAATATTTTTGAAAAATCGCAAAACATGAAAATTTTTTGAAAAATCACAAAACATGAAAATTTTTGGAAAAATCGCAAAATATGATAATTTTTTGAAAAATTGCAAAAAAATGAAATTTTTGAAAAATCGCAAAATATGAACAATTTTTGAAAAATCGCAAAAAATCACAAAAAATGAAAATTTTTTGAAAAATCGTAAAAAATCACAAAAACTTAAAATTTTTTGAAAAATCGCAAAATATGAAATTTTTTTGAAAAATTGCAAAACATGAAAATTTTTTGAAAAATCACAAAACATGAAAATTTTTGGAAAAATCGCAAAATATGATAATTTTTTGAAAAATCGCAAAAAATGAAATTTTTGAAAAATCGCAAAATATGAACAATTTTTGAAAAACCGCAAAAAATCACAAAAAATTAAAATTGTTTGAAAAATCGCAAAAAATCACAAAAAATGAACATTTTTTTAAAAATCACAAAAAATTTACATTTTTTGAAAAATCGCAAAATATGAAATTTTTATGAAAAATCACAAAAAATGAAAAATTTTTGAAAAATCGCAAAATCGCAAAATATGAAAATTTTTTGAAAAATCGCAAAATATGAAAATTTTTTGAAAAATCACAAAATATGAAATTTTTTTGAAAAATCGCAAAATATGAAAATTTTTTGAAAAATCGTAAAATATGAAAATTTTTTGAAAAATCGCAAAATATGAAAATTTTTTGTAAAATCGCAAAATATAAATTTTTTTTGAAAAATCGCAAAACATGAAATTTTTTTGAAAAATCGCAAAAAATCGCAAAATATGAAATTTTTTTGAAAAATCGCAAAATATGAAAAAATTTTGAAAAATCACGAAAAATCATGAAAGATGAAAAAATCTTGAAAAATCATGAAAAAATCACCAAAAATCATGAAAAATTCACCAAAAATCATGAAAATTATCTGTACAAACAGTAAAAAATACAGATAGTGCAAAAACAATGACAGTGCAAATACAACGACAGTACAAATAACAGACAAATAAAATGACAATGTGAAATTGACAGCGATATGTACAATGAATAGGTGTCCACATAGTTGTAGGCAGTGTTGTTTCAAGTATGGATTGGCTAAAGGTCAGTGCATGCTACATATCGATGGTGTGCAGTGAGGGTATGGAAGAGCCTGTGTGTTAAGTGTTCATCAGCCTGATAGTCTGAGGGAAGAAACTTTCCTTTAGCCGGCTGGTGCGTAACCAGATGCTGCGGAACCATCTGCCTGAGGGTAGCAGACGGTTTTGTCTGTATAATTGTACATGTTAAACTAATTTAAATTAGAAGTCCACTAAATGTTCATTAACTAAAGTCACAGCAAAAGGTGCTACAATTAAAGTAGAAATGCCAAAGTTCCACTGCTTTTTCTGTGACAGCTGTAGGGCTCGTCGGGGGATTGAACCCAGGACCTCTCGCATCCTAAGCAAGAATCATACCCCTTGACCAACGAGCCCTGAAGAAAGACCCTGCTGTGCCAAAAAAAATTCTTACTTTTTTATAAATACTTTTTGTTCTTGTTGTTTTTAGTATGTGCCACCTGGGTTGTCTTTGATGCAGTCCCTTTTAAGTTGGCTGTGCAGCACAATCCACAATAGCGATCTGCTAAAAAGATTCAGAGTGAGCTTCTGTTTAGAATACAGTTAAAAGCATCAGTCTGCAATATTAGAAAACCAGTAAAACAACTCAGGTGGACCTCTGGAAAAGCCAGGTAAGCCATTTTAAACAATGCCATAATGAAAAGATTTATTTATTTACATTAATCCATGCATCTCTTTATTTAGGCTATTTGCTTTATACGAGCTTACATGTCCTACAAATTTATTAATAGGACATACCCTATTAATAAACCGCCATGTTGTGAACCCGAAAGCAAAGCATCCAGTAAAAATTCATGTCTGGGGAGCCATATTCCGTCAGGGATCTGGACCGCTAGTTGTGTTAGAAGGTTAGTTCAAATCTCTTTAATATGATTGAATCGTTTCTTTGCAGTTTCTTTATTTATATATATATATTTTCTATTTTCAGGAATTATGGACAGATGTTTTTACGAAGACACTATAATAAAATTCAATCAGGCTCCATACGTAAAACAACACTTTAAGAACCATATCACTTCTTCCAAGGTAGATACAGTATGTAGGCCTACTGTACCAACTGTGTGTGTGTGTGTATACATGTTCACTGATGTGTGTGTGTGTGTGTGTATACATGTTCACTGATGTGTGTGTGCACACGTTCACTGCTGTGTGTGTTGAACTTTTTTATCAATCTAGATGATTATTGAATAATTAATAAAGTAAACACATTGCTTAAAGGGCACATAGTTTACCCCTTTTTTAATGATTTAACATTATTATTATGGTTCTTCTGAGTGTGCCAGTCTAGGTTCAGTTCAAAACACAATCCAGATTTTTTTATTATAATGTGTTATAATGTGTCATTTTAAGGGCGTGTACACAGCTCGCTGTTTTACATTTACTTTTAGTCATTTAGCAGACGCTTTTATCCAAAGGGACTAACAAATGAGGACAAGGAAGCAATTATCACAACTATAAGAGCAACAATAAATAAGTGCTGTAGGCAAGTTTCAGGGCTGTAAAGTCTAAGAAGGAAAGCATTAGTAATGTAAGAATTTTTTTTTTTTTTTTTGAGTACAGTTAGTGGTATAGCTAGAGGCAATTGCAGATTAGGAAGTGAAGAGGAGACTAAATAGTTGAGTTTTAAGTCGTTTCTTGAAGACAGCAAGTGACTCTGCCGTTCTGTTGCAGTTAGGGAGTTCATTCCACCAACTGGGCAGATTGAATGCGAGAGTTCGGGAAAGTGATTACTTCCCTCTTTGGGATGGAACCACGAGGCGACGTTTATTCACAATACGCAAGTTTCTTGAGGGCATATAAATCTGCAGAAGTGAGAGCAGATAAGAGGGAGCAAAGCCAGAGGTTGCTTTGTAGGCAAACATCAGAGCTTTGAATTTGATGCGAGCAGCAACTGGCAGCCAGTGCAAATGGGTGAGTAGCGGAGTGACATGTGCTCTTTTCAATTCATTAAAGACCACTCATGCTGCTGCATTCTGGAGTAGCTGAAGGGGCGTATTGCTTCGCATGAAAATTAGTTTCAAATTCAGTCGGTCGGTGAGTAAATGAATATGATGAATGAGAACACACAGGCATGTGCGTATAGAGATATAATGTAATGCTGTACAGTAACGTGTCAATTGTTTGTTTCAGTTGTCTTTATTTGAATGGTTTCGTGAGGATGTGATGGTGTGCTTTATCTGGCTGATTCCTGCTGAAGTGGGCGGGTTGTGTGACGTTTGATTCGGGGGATGTTATGGGGCGGGGTTTGCGTGACGTGCTGCGAGCTACTAGCCCGACAGTGGAAACGCAACATGATTTCGGCCTCACTGCTTAACCTCCTGGGCAATTGCCCCGGCTCATCCTGGCTCGCACTGGCCTCAGCTCACAGCCTAGAAGTCCAATGAACTATCCATTGCACCACAGAGCTCCTGCCTCTAGCACTGTTGCACAGAAAGCAATTTTTGGTACTCTCTGGCCCATAAAAGCACAGCTCACTGCAGATAAAGTACTGCTGGGATTCATACATAGGATCTTCTGTTTACTAGACAGGTGTTTTGACCAACTAAGCCACAAAACCAGACAGGGGGTATCTGTTTAATCGAAAAAAGAAACGGTAAAAACGGTAGCACTGCATGTTTGAATGTCTAGACTTAAAAATTTTAAAGTCCAATTGGTTACGCATCACCATACCATGCTATATAATGCCATCGTCCAAAACCCTCTTAATAGTACAATATTAAAATTGTTTTATTATTCAATATATAATCAAGGTTTCCCTTCTTAAACCAATTAACTTCTCTCTATAAAGCTTCAAAAATTGCAACAAATGAACACTCCAATGAAACAATGTACAAATAAAATAAAAATGAAAATAAAACATTTACTTAAAACATTTCAAATTTTCCCAAAAGTCCAGTACAGGTGATGAACACTCAAAAAGATTCTTTTGCAAAACAACTAGGTTGCAAATTCAGTTCAAGAGATCTAGGATGTTGCACTTGTGAGTTTGTTGTAAATTTACACTCTTACCATGACGCTGAATAGGTTTCACTTTGTATCTTTCCAACAGGTGTATCCAAAAAATCCACTTAATGGGAGGCTCGCCAGTCCAACTCCACAATTAGACACGCACCGATGGAAGTTGAGACAATCCAAATCCAGAAAAGAGTTCACACTTCAATTAATTTGAATGCAGAGCAGATCACATTCAGCAACTGACTTCAATAGAACATCTCACCGATGAAAAACCAGAAGATGCATAAGCAAACAAACAAAGGGGAGAAAAAAACCATTAGCATTTTACAGTGTATGCATTATCTCAGCTTAACACATTTGTAAATAAACAGCAACAATAAATGACCATGTATATGCTTCTCTCTGCTGAATTTCTGTGTTTTTCCTATTTCTTTCTCCTATTTGGCATTTTCTTTTTACAAATGACAGCATTTTACTTAAACTCTCTCACTTAAACTTTACACAATCACTTGTATAATACTGTGTATAATACTGTGTTTTTACTAGACCAAACAAATGGTTAATTAATGAAACACATTTTGACACTAGTTTTAATCATGTTATAATGAAAACAATTAAAAAAAAAACACGAACTCACCAAGGAAATCATTCAAAATCAAAGCGAAAAGCCAGGAAAACTCCAGGGGGCACTCGTGTGCAGATTTTACTCACAGATACAAATCTTGTTTTTTTCTCTCAATCCTTCATTAAAGATATATGATAGAAATCATTTCAGCATCTTATTAATGGTCAGTTTTCACAGTTAATACACATTTAAAACATTAAAATATATATTTACATTTACATTTAGTCATTTAGCAGAAGCTTTTATCCAAAGCGACTTACAAATGAGGACAAGGAAGCACTTACACAACTAAGAGCAACAATGAATAAGTGCTGTAGGCAAGTTTCAGGTCTGTAAAGTCTAAGAAGGGAAGTATTAGTAGTATTAGTATTAGTATTTTTTTTTGTGGGTACAGTTAGTGTGATATTCAGAGAGGCAATTGCAGATTAGGAAGTGAAGTGGAGACTAAATAGTTGAGTTTTTAGTCGTTTCCTGAAAGTAGCGAGTGACTCTGCTGTTCTTATGCAGTTAGGGAGTTCATTCCACCAACTGGGCAGATTGAACGTGAGCATTCACGAAAGTGATTTCTTCCCTCTTTGGGATGGAACCACGAGGCGGCGTTCGTTCACAGAACGCAAGTTTCTGGAGGGCACATAGATCTGCAGAAGTGAGAGCAGATAAGAGGGAGCAAAGCCAGAGGTTGCTTTGTAGGCAAACATCAGAGCTTTGAATTTGATGCGAGCAGCAACTGGCAGCCAGTGCAAACGGGTGAGTAGCGGAGTGACATGTGCTCTTTTCAATTCATTAAAGACCACTCATGCTGCTGCGTTCTGGAGTAGCTGAAGGGGCGTGTTGCTTCGCATGAAAATTAGTTTCAAATTCAGTCGGTCGGTGAGTAAATGAATATGATGAATGAGAACACACAGGCATGTGCGTATAGACATAAAATGTAATGTTGTACAGTAACGTGTCAATTGTTTGTTTCAGTTGTCTTTATTTGAATGGTTTCGTGAGGATGTGATGGTGTGCTTTATCTGGCTGATTCCTGCTGAAGTGGGCGGGTTGTGTGACGTTTGAATCGGGGGATGTTATGGGGCGGGGTTTGCGTGACGTGCTGCGAGCTACTAGCCCGACAGTGGAAACGCAACATGATTTCGGCCTCACTGCTTAACCTCCTGGGCAATTGCCCCGGCTCATCCATTACTTAAAACATTTCAAATTTTCCCAAAAGTCCAGTACAGGTGATGAACACTCAAAAAGATTCTTTTGCAAAACAACTAGGTTGCAAATTCAGTTCAAGAGATCTAGGATGTTGCACTTGTGAGTTTGTTGTAAATTTACACTCTTACCATGACGCTGAATAGGTTTCACTTTGTATCTTTCCAACAGGTGTATCCAAAAAATCCACTT